GTCCCAGCCCTTAACCTTGCCAGGACCATCCCCAGTCTCTGGGCCTGGGTCACATACCCTCACTCCTCTGCCTGGATGCCTACCCTGCACTTCCAATCATCAGACCCAACACCGGGCACTTCTGTGGGACCCAGCAGAGGCCTTGCCCCTAAGTCCTGGGCCATCGGGGTGGGAGTACCCTTACCTGATGGGCCAAAGATACATTTAGATAAGCTTCCAGCCCAGTGCTCATTCATGCTAGAGTGTGAGTGACTGGCCAGCCCTTCCCATATGAAATTTATTCCACAGAAAAATGATTCTAAGACTAAGTGGAGCTTGGAGCTCTGCAGGTAGAACTCAGGGAGGAGGGAAGCAGCTGACAGAAGTCCTCCTTTGGGCTCCTGAGTCCACCAGACTATCAGCCAAGAGGCCAGGAAGAAAGAAGGTGAGCCCACCCTGTCTGCTTGCTCACTGCCATGCCAGCCCAGCCTTGACCTTTGACCTTCCCTCTGCCACCCAACTCTCATGGATGCCCCAGGTCCCCAGGCTGTGCCTCTAAGCTCTCTGCCTTCTCACTACACCCACCCATAGCCATTCCCCAGCCTGCCCAAACACCCCCAGGGCCGCCCTCAGCCCTGGTCCCCACCCCACAGAGAACAGCATGCCCGATTCAAGACCCCAATCAGCCACCCCTCCTCCGTGAGGGCAGAGGCTCTGCACTGCTGTGTGGTGGCAGCCCCCAGGGAGCCAGGACTGAGTGGGTCCCTGAGAGATGCACCCCAAGTGGCTCTAGATGGCCCCTACGGGCAGGACACCCTCCTCACCACACCCTTCCTCGGAGCATGAGTTTATACAGAGGAGCATTTGTGACTTTGATTTTAGTTAAATTAATAAACTAAGTTAAAAACCAAAGCGCCCTTTCTTCCATCCCACTTCAAAGCCAGGGAGGCCTAGGCTCAGAGGAGTTCCAGGAGAGTGTGAGGGCGCCCCGCCAGAGGAGGCGGGCCAGGCTTGAGCACCCCAGGCCCTGACCTCAGGCAGCAGGAGCACCCACGCTGGGCACGGCCAAGGACGCACCCTCCCCTCAGCTTCTCCTACTTCTCCTGGGTTGGGAGGACAAGAGAGTCCAAAAAGACTCTCAGCCCCCCTGCCCCCAGAGTCACGGAGTGGCCCGGGCTTGACCTGACCTGGGTCTGCCCAGGGACTGTGCAACCACAGAATCCAGGAAATGGCCTCAATGTCAAAGTCCCAAGACATGGCCATACACAAGGACACTGCTTGCCTGAGGGCACCAGGCACACCTGCTAGGCCCACAGGGCCTCAGTTAGTCCTCCCCCCTTAGCAATGCGGAGGGGAGACTCAGGTTTCTGTGGCTGAGCCGGGTCAGGCCCTACTGGACAGCCACCTCCTGCTCCCAGTCCCAGAGGCCCAATTCAGCACAAGTGGGAAGTTCCTTCTCCCAGGAAGGCCACCACAGCACTCCTGCTCCAAGATGTCCAAGTCAGCAGACAGCCTGGGCTTCTCCCAGGAATGCAAGGAGGGACCAAGACCCAGCATCCAGGAACCTCAGGGAAGGGTGGGTGGCTCCAATCTCTGAACTGTCCAGGTGCCTTGGAAAAGGCAGCCAGGAGGAGCCTGCCCTGACTCCAGAAACTTCTGCAAGTCCCAGCAGACTGCTTGGGGTCCCCACTGCACCCACCCTGAATTCCCAATCCCAACTGGGGGTGTTCACTGGGTGACCTGTCCTACCCAACTCCTCCAGGCTTGACCCTCCCCTGACCCCAGCCTCCATGAAGCACAACCCCCAAGATCTGCCCTCAGCCCTGGTTCCCACCCCACAGAGAATAGCATGCCCTGAGCCCGACCAGGATCAAAAGAAAGGGGCTTAGGTTTGGGATGGACTGTCAGGGCACAGGGGACCAGTTGGACTGCCCTCAGGAAGCCAGGGTCCCCACCTGCCCATCATTCGGAGCTCTCCGGCCCCCGCTGGCAGTCAGGGCCCCAGGGTCCCAATTTTGGCAGACAGATAGGTGCACACACCAACAAGGGCCACTAAGGTGTGGGAGCAGACCCTGGCCCTGTACACACCCTGCGCGGGGGCGCAGCTGGGCCGGCCGCGGGCGCGCAGGATCGCTGACAGCCCAGACCCCGAGCCCTGCCCCACAGACAGGTGCCCTCCCGCGCCCGCCCAGGCCGCGCGGCCCACTGACCCGAAGTCCTGATCCATGGACTTGAAAAAGAATTTGTAGGCGTGCACCGGCCGGTTGCTGAGCACGTTCTTGAAATCGGCCAGCGTGACGCGCTCGGGGGCCACGGGCAGCTTGACCAGGTACGGCGTCTCCTCCTCGTCCATGTGGTAGATGATCTTGGTCTCCGCCATGGCGCGGCGGCAGCGCGAGCCCGCGCGGCGCTCAGGGCCCGGCCCGCGGCTCGGACACGGGGCGC